ATTTGTAGAACTAATTACGATTCAAGTTCAGAAGAGGGGATTTAACGTGCCCCTGTGTGATGCTGCATGATTCATTTTCCATGTCCCCGAACCCCCCGAGTGCCGGTGTCCCACTGGAGCGACAGAGCAGCAGCCGTTCTCCCAGGAAACTGCTGGGGAAAAACTGCCCGAGCCCTCCCCACGTACCCACCCAGCCTCCTGCTCTCAGCAGAACCCATGATTTTGGGCAGTTTTAAGTAAAACTTTTCAGTGTGTAGCTCATGCGTTTGACTGTAAAAGATCCTCTAGTGCGGTTCTTTAATTGGCAAGCGTGCCTCGCTGCATTGATTGTCTGTCTTGTAGGTATCTAAAATCACTCACCTGAAGACTCTCCATCTCCGTGTCGTTAAGGGATGGCAGCATCCCTGCGCAGCCGAGAGGGAATGACACATCACATAGATATTTTATTGACTTCTGACAGCTTCAGAGCACGCGTTTCAGTGTGGGTAAAAGCAAACAAGTAAAAGACCTGGGACTTAAAGCAAAATGAGGGAGAGCCAGAACAGTCAATAACAACTTCACCGTTAAAAATGAAAAAAATAAAAGCATTTTTTTTTGGTACATGCATCCCCACCACTACATTGTCACTAGAACAGCCCACATTTCCCAGTGACACCTACAGCTGCATTTGATCTCTCCATCACAGGTTTCCTCCCCGGCTGGTCAGCTATTTCCATTTTTCCAAGGGAAGACTGAACCATGATGACATCTCCTGTTGCTCCCTGGGGGCTCTGGATGGCGTGTGTCTGAGTGTGTGTACATCTGTCCATCTCTGTTCTTTTACTGCATCTGCCCTTGACTTGGTGGTCTTTGTATGTTTTTTTTCCCAGGAAAAAGCTTTTGATGCCTTTTCCTCCCCAGTCTGCAATGGAGACAAAGCCAAGCAGTTCTTGGCTCGGCATGGAGCTATCCTAATGATACCGTGCCCCGGGGAGGAAACCCATCCAAGAGACATCTGCCTCTTTATCACATGATGGACACTGTTTTTGGAATGCCAGATGAGCATATTTTGTCTTCAAGAACATCAGACACTCTTCCTTATCTCAAAGCTAAACAATATTTCTCAAGAGCTGCTTGTGGTTTTTTTCTTGCTGTCTTTAAAATTTGTTTTCCTTTGGAATTTGGGTCTTCAGACCCAGGACCACCATGCCCCAGAACATCAGATGACTGCAGCCAGCCTGCTGACCTGGAAGGGAAGAGCACTGTCCATATTCCATGCCAGTAGGGCTGTCCAGAAGAAAGGCACTGATGGTGGACGTGAGCATCTCTACAGAGGAGAAGGCACTAACCTCACTGCTCAGGCTGACCACTCACACATCACCTGACATTAGCATCTTTGAATTATCACTCAGACAAAAACTACTGCTGACTCACAAGTCATTAAAACAAGGAGAGCCACTCTGAGGTGGGATGTCTTGAGGCTCCTCAGCCTCTGGACTGGATCACCTCCCAGATGCCACAGCCTCTGGGTAGCTGCTCTTATATTCAGTGAGCACAGGACTGAAGAAGTAGGCTCTTGTCCTCAAAGGACAGCCTTTGGGGCCCTCAGACTTCACCACAGCTGACTCCATGGATGCTACAGCTGTGTGGGGCAAGGTGTCACAGGTGTAGGTCAACCAGCTCAGGTCTGGAAGCCAGGTTGCTCAGACAAAAGGCTTTGTGCCTGAGCAAACGTGGTCAGCCTTGGGTCTGGCGAGGAAGACTGCAAGCCCTTGCAGCTGAGGAAGGTGCCAGTTCAGGGGCTGACTGAGTAGACTCCCCGACGCACATCGAACGGGGTGGTCTGTTTTCTGGTTGGAGTCTTTCCATTCACGGTCAAGCTGTCTCCCATCTGGTTCAGGAAACAAAGCAACCACCACACTTCAGCCCACAGCACCATGTCCAAGGAACTGTTTTCACTTGTTGAGTCTGAACTCAAACCCCCACCACACACACTATTCATAAGACAGAACCATTCCTGAGAGAGGTCTGAGGACTCACACACGACTCGCAGTGGGTACTCCCTGCAGGCAGCCCCAGGGCATGGCTTCTGGAGGCACCACCACGGTTAATGACCAGAACTCAGGAGAAGCAAAGCTGCTGTGGAGACAACCTCTCTTTGGTTAAGTTGCAGAGAACCAGTCTTCAAATTGAGGTAATTTAAAAAAAAAAAGTCATTTTTACGAGTTACTCCTGGCGGGAGCTAAATCCATTCTTCAAATTGAGGTAATTTTAAAAAAAAAAATATGTCATTTTTACGAGTTACTCCTGGCGGGAGCAAGGAGAAGAGGGAGAACAGTGTGTCACTGTCTTCGTATTTAACCAGATTTGGGGTTGGAAGTGTTAGGATATCTGCTGACACTAATTTCTGTGATTAAGAAACTGTGGGCCATACTTCAAGTGTGGGAGGAAAAAATGAAAGTTATCCTTGTCCTCATTTTCCGCTGTTGTGGTATTTTTTTTTGTTCAGGACATGTTTTTCACTCAGGAGAGATTTTAATTGGGGACAGATGAAAGAATGAGAGGGCACGTTCCTTTATTTATTTTCTGATAGACCATGAAAAAAAAAATAAATTAAGAGTGATTAAACCAACAAACTTTCTTTAATAAATTAATAGCAGCATCACAAAAACCCTGATGTGAATGACCCAAAGGAAGTTGGGTACGTGACAGTATTTAACCACTCACAGAAATGTTATCACCCGCTGGCCGGGAGAGGACGCAGGCGCTGGAAGGCAGTCCCCTGGGCTGGTTATCTAAACAAGTGACACACACCAGCACGGGTCCAGCTGAGTCACAACGTATTTACAGTTCTGGTGCTGAAATTTTTAAAAACATTTATAAAAAATTCTGTAAGTTCTCTGTTCGATTCCCATTATTTACATCCAAATATAGTAGGTTCTCTTTTTGCCCATACAGCAGAACCGGCAAGGGTAAGGCTCCTGCGCGGAGACGTTGCCTGCGTGTGGACTTACCCCAAGTTTGAGGACACTGTGGAAAATGAGCTATTCACACGTGTGCTAGAAGCTACTGTAATTCAACTTATTGCTAAACGCTTTCAAAGTCTGTGGCTGGCTTTTAAATACACATATATGTGTGTGTATATATATATATATGTACAAACATGTATATATATATGTACAAACATATATATACACACACACATATACATGTTTGGAAAAGATGTGCTACGAATTCACCCAAGGAAAAAAAAAATAAATAAAAATAACTTAAAAAGCAATGTGATCTTTTTGATTTTTCTGTCCTGTTTGAGAGAGTCAAATCTCACTCAGGGCAAAGGGCAGTCACTGAAGGCACAAGTTTGTGTCTCTGGCCAGTCCTTTTCCTACTGGTTACCAGACTTTTTTGGAGAGGCAAGTGGATTCCTGTGGCAGTATCAGTGGGCTGGCACACGGCACATCCCTGCTCCACACAGGGATGCCTCGCCTGCCTGCATGGAATTACCATGGATTTTTCTCAGGGGTGAGGGAGAAGATGGGACCATCAACTTCAAGGCTTCCAGCTGGGAGCAGCCCGGCAGCAGATGTAACCTGCACCTTGTGTTTGGGTGGAGGCCTCAGCCAGGTGGTCGCTGCACACAGCAACACAACGGCACGCTAAAGCACTGGCAAAATTCTCCATTTCTTCTACAAGTTAACGTTGGTGGGATGAACACAAGCAAGTTTAGATAACAAGCAGTTCATGTTAGTAAAATGCAATTTATCCATGTCTAATGTAAGCTTTTCTGTTCTGAGGATTTTCATAGCCAGGGGCTGTCAGTGATGCTTAAAAACATCAATGTTAGACGGGCACTGCAGCATTTGTGTAGCAGTTAATGAAGATGTAAAAACCTTAGGGGTGATATCTGGCATTAGACAACACTCTACGCAAGGAAAACTGCATGAGAGGCATCACCCCTGAGGCACAGTGCCAGAAAGACACGATGCCTTGGAGGGCTTGCCTACACAAGAACACAGAGGAAAATTAATTCAAATTATACATGGTGTGAATTAAAAAGCAGATCACTTAAACTGCATTAAATCCCAATGTGGATGCTTTCATTAAGATGTAAGTGGCGATAATAAGATATACTATAATTTACTTTGGGAGTGAAAGGAAATAAATCAAATTTAAAAGTTAATCCAGATTAATCTTCCATGTAGACTAGCTCCAGTTCTGCTTCCTTCCTGTCCCTGCTCATCGTCTGTTTTTGAACCACGTCACCAGCAAATGATTCCAGTCAGATCCTTTGTCCAGCTCCTACCCGAGACAGGAGAAAGGAGCTGGGACCCTCGTTTGTGCCTCTCTCCTGAGCATCCCCCAGGGTGGTGGGTCCTGCACCACGCAGCCCAACCAGCACCACACGCACAGCGGTGCCTGCTTTACACCCAAAGCAGTGTTTTATCATCAGCACTGCAAGTCCCAGGACGCTGAAAAATAAAAGCAAATGATAAACTAAGCTAGGGAAGAAACAGATGTGAGGAGTGAGAAGACAAGAGCTCATACAAAGCCAGAGCAATCTTCTCCGGGTCAACCAAAGACCCTCGTCATCCAAGCGATCTGTGAAGGCAGTGCCATCCACACTGAGCACAGCTTGCTCCATCCCAGAGCTGATCATTACCTACAAGACTAAAGGAGAGCTTTTTATAAATGAGGCACTCCATTTAGAAACTGCCTGAAGCAGGTAACTGGGGTGTGCTCTGCTTCTCATGCTTCTTCTCCAGCCAGGATGGCAAAGCCACACCACAACTGCATTCCCCACCTTCCGTAGGGGAGCCGGAGCCTCCTGGGGAATGGAAAGAAAACAGCAGGATTGGAGAGGGAGCCAACATTGAACAGAGGTCCCCTGAAGTGCAAGATTGCCCCAGCAGGGCCACTGCCCGTGCCAGGCCACGTCTGGGCAGGTGCCTGCAGAGCCACTACGCTCTCATCACGCCTCTCTGCCAGGTTTCTGTACAGTCTTTACACGGCACAAATAGGGGTGAGGATTTAAAGTATATATTTACTGTCAACTTGAAAAAGAAAATTATACTGACCAAGTCTAATAGCATGTATTTGATATATAACTATTAACGTGCCATTCTGGACTCCAGCAAATGCCACCTGAGATAAATATTCAGCATTTTTGTTCATGCACTGGAAGAAGAATTCAAACATTTTGTCCATGACATATGCAAAGTAACTAATAGTTCTGATCTAGTATTAACAGTAAATATAGAACCTTAAACTTCACTGCAGTATATTAATATATATGATTTTAAGTACTGGACTGGAAAGATAACTCTTTTCTTTTTCTTTAAAAAAAAAAAAAAAAGCTTTGTTCAGAATGCAATATTTACATTGTCCTTTGACCAACACTTACATTTTTACACAATATATTTTGGCTACAGATAACACCGTAGCAAAAGGCTCTGTGAGCCACCTTTACACACAGCTCACTCTTTCGCTTACAACATTACAGCTGTTTATGGAGAGCTCTGAAGTCCCTGGTTGCATTTCAAGGCCCTCCTCAACTTCATCTAGTTCCATGCTATTGAATTCGTTGCCATTTCGGTAACTAGTTAAAGTCAGGTCTTTCCCATATAAAGCTGTTGAAGTGACATTCAGACACTGATTCTGCCTCAGCGCTGATTTTTTACCGGTCTTGTATTGGCAACGGATGTAATTGGAAAAAGCCCTGCGGTAGGTTTTATTGAAGAGTGTGTATACGAGGGGATTGACCCCAGAGCAAACGTACCCCACCCAAACAAACACGTCAAGGAGTTCACTCAAGAGGTCTTTATCGCAGGCTTCCTTGCAAAGGACAGACATGACGTTAGTGATGAAAAACGGGCACCACATGATGAGGAACAAAAAGAAGACGATGCCCAGGACCTTAGAGGCTCTTCGCTCGTTGTTGATGGACTGCATAGTTCCTTTCCGAAAAAGCACTGCCTCCTTATTTACAGGAGAGTTCAAGTGAGATGCCCCCTCGTGATTGTGAAGCATTGAAACGTTCTCTGTGTTGTTCTCCTTCTTGAGGCAGTTTACGCTGCTCCTCCTCTGCTTGGGCACCTCTCCACACATGAAGACTGTTGCCTGTCTCTGCAGCACCTGGACGGTCAGACAATAGGTGATCACCATGATGATGAGAGGGATGAAGAACGCCATGAAGGATCCAATGAGGACAAAGTTCTCATCGTTGAGGACGCAGGTCCCATTTACAAACACCCTGGAGTCATCCTGCAAACCAATGACCGGAATGGGCATAGATATCCCTAGAAGAACGAGACCAAAAAAGAGATGGTTACCTGCTGGAGAGAGCTCCAAAGAGGCAGCAGAGATGATGCAGGTCCTGCACACATTCAGCCCACTGCCTAAAGCTGTTTGAAAGAGAAGTTACTGCTCCCAGATGGAAGGGAAAACCTCATCTAACAATGCTCCTGGGAGGGCAGATCCAGGCCATGAACACCCTCTGCCAGGATCAGCTGTGGCTTTGCTGTGCTCCACAGCTGACATGGCAAATGCAGCATCACTTGTTATTGAGTTCTTTTCTAGCATTAATTGTGATTTGTGGGTGTAGAAAAGGTAATCATTGCTCTGCTCTGTTCCAGCAGGTCACTCCATGCCTGCCAGTCTTGGGGTGGGGGGGCATGTGGGGTGTGAAATCACTGCCATAGGGTAGATAGTAGCAAACTTCAAAGATGAAAATTATCAAAATCCGAAAGACTTACAGCTAAAAAGATTTAAAAGCAAGTTTCTTAAAAATATTAAAATAATCCTGATAGAAAAATGGCCACCTTTGCCATGGTGTCATGGACACATGGAAGAAAAGATCCTGGCTTTCAGGGACCTTATCTACTGTCTTGGTGCAAGCAGAGAGTGGTCTCTGCAAGCTCTGGTGCCCGGGCACTTTATCCACAAGCAATGGGAAGGTAAGAAGTACGAGACAGTCCTGCTTGACTCCCTCAGTCATGGCCAAGTAGCTGCCCAATTCCAATCCCTCTATCTTCAATACGGGGCTAAAAATGGGAACAACAGACCATGTGAGAGCAGAAAAGGTGTAACTAAACTGGTAATCAGATCGACGTGACGGTCTGAAATCAGAGCCCCAGCTACAAAACCTCTGGCTGAAAGGAAGGAAACTTTAAGTGTTTCCATTATAATAATAACTAGAGCACAGCTTCCAGCTACTCCTCAGCACTAAGCAGAGTAATAAGCCTCAGGAATCACTGCACTTGCCAAGGCAATTTCTCTTGTATCCTGGTGGCACAGCACTTCCTGTGGGCACAGAAAGAAGACAGAATACAGGACTCATGCCAGAGTACTGGATCTCACTTGAATATTTTTCATGCATCCCAGGATCCCAACTTTTTCCCTTAAACTGTGGAGCTCAGCCCAACACCAGGACAGACTCAAAACCTTCCAAAGAAATCTGTCTAGACACAGCCAAACCCAACAAAAGCAACAACATATTTTGGAATATCACAACCTATGTGCATGTGAGAACATAGAAAAGCCATGGTGGGCCAGATCTAGTTTCAGATCATGGGTTCATCTGTGCCTTTTGCAGGTACCAGAAGTTTAGGGCCATGGTACGAAAGGGGGCAGCTGTCAGCATTACAGTATAGAAAATTCCACAGCAAGAAGTTACATCCACACCTTGTGTTTAAAATAATCTTTGAGAGACCTATCTTCTGTGAATTCTTGATCTCATTTATAACTCCACAATATTTGGAAGCATTCAGTTCCACAACCTGTTTGTCATGTGAACAAAGTATTTCTTGCTCATTTTAAATTTCCTTTGACTCCCCTCAGTTCCTCTGCTGTGAGAAACTGAATAATCGCCCTCCGGTCACCTTTTCCACTTCTCAGTGATTTTATAGACCTTTATCATCTCTCCTGTCTGATCTCTCTTTGGGAACTGAAGAATGCTATTCTATTTACTGTCTCCTCGTGCCAAACTCATTTTATGTTTTTGATTATCTTTCTCCATTTCTTTTCAAATTCCTCTCTGTCCTTTTGAAGAAAGGGAAAAAAACCTGCACATCCCAGCAGTTAAGAGTGGAGCAGAATGTCTCTGTGCCCCCCTTCCTGCCACCAGCCACCCGGCTGCCTGTGAGCACTCGCTCTGCAGACCTGTCTGTGGGGCTGGCCATGCCCTTCCTCAGCTCCTTCACCCAAGAAATAACCAATGCTGGAGCCACTCTTGTGTCTGGGTTGTTTTTTGGGGGGTTGCTGGGATCAGCACAGGTCCTAGAAAAAATCCTATGGGACTCTGAGTTTCTGAACAGAAAGATTAGCATGCTAAAGAGATTAACCAGGGCATTTTTCCCATTCCAGCTAAGTGTTTTCCACAATTCCGGAGAATACATCTGCAATTTGTCATTACCATAAAATTACCATTTGCTAGTAATCTAGGGAAAGAATTTCTTCTGAAAAGTAATGATTATAAATGCCTTCTGTGATTATAGCATATGTTTTCTTAACCCAAATGATAGTTCCAGGATTTGGTCTTCTTTCCCTCTACGTGCTCATGTTTACCAGCTTACCCTTGGAAAGGCAGTTGCCTCCTCTCTAATTCTTAACCCCTGTCTCCTTGTCACCTTGAGTGTGATCAAACTACAGATATTTGGGAAGTGCTGGGAGGTGGACAGAGCAGTCTTTGCACAAAGAAGAAATCTGAATCAATGGCATTACACCGGGATTATATTTGCATGGGTAATTTTATGCTTTAGAGCCCTCTATAACACATGCCCTTTGAAATAAAACTCCAAAATGAATAATGGTTCATTCACGAAGTCATCATCATTGAATTTAGTGTTACTGCTTTAGCCAAGGGAAATGAGATGAGGTTTCGGGATATCTTCATGGTCACACGTATAAAGTACATTTGGGAAGAATAACCTGGTTCTGGGATATGATGAATATACAAATCAAGAGCACTGATGGCAGCCTAAAACTCTGCATGAGCATGAGAGAGCTCAGCACTGATGACGGGGAATGAGGAGGTAGCTGCTGGAATGGAAAAGCGTCCCTCACATCTCCATAAAAAAATGGGACTTCAAACTGAGAAAGCACAGAAGAGAGACAGCAACAGGTTTTTCCTCCAATCCAGGAAAACCCCATCGTTAACAGCCGTAGGAAGAAAGATGCCCTCAGAGGAGCTGCCAACACACCTTCATCCAGCAGCCAGCCTACAGCACTGCTGAACGGGCAGCACCACCCTCATCTCAAGTGCTTCCTTCTGCCTCACGCTTGTCTTTGTAACACATTCTTTAATATGAGATTTACCACTGATCCACCCCACAATCCAGCCATAAAGGGAACGAAGTCTGTTACACAACTTGGGCAGCAGGGACTAACTCTACACCACCCCAGGAGTGAGAAGTGAAGTATGGAAGGTCTCAGAAACCCCAGAGGGGCTTCCTTCATGGGGGATTATTGCAAAATTGCTACTGCCACAATCCCAAATGCACAAATACCTTCTTGCAGACACAGCTCACACCCTGGCCCTGATTTCCATAGGGTTACCCTGATCAGTATGTGCTTACCATATGCCTACCATGCATTCCCATGGCGCCTGAGAACGGGTAAACACCAATGCCTGTCTTGAGTTCAGCTGTTTGAGCAAGCAAGGAGAAGGCATTCAACTCCACTTGACTCAAGCAACCCACAGTACTAACACTGTGGCTGTAGCTGTTCATAATGTAAGAATTAAGGTCAGTTGGTCAGAGAAAGACAACCTCACTACACCAACACAAGGACAGCGAGTGTCAAAGCAGGCAAGAGACTCCAAAGCCTACTGCTGCCCAGCTCTACTGCTTTTCAGCTCTTCAAGCCCTGCTGCAGAGCATTTAATGGGCTTTTGCCTTGTACCCGCACTGACAAACGCTTCATCAACAAATGTCAGGCTGATTTAGTGAGCTGAGGTCTCCGGCCCCAGAGGCATTTTCCAGTTGTGTCAAATAACCCTTTCTACTAAGGCAGTAGTGAATTCCCAAGGAGAGGTGGTGGTGTTCCAAAAACATGCAAGATAGAAGCTTTGGAAGCTTATTGCATATCACACTTTGCTCTTCAGAGCAAATTGGTCATCTTGCTTGATGTCTGAGCAGTGACTAGGGCAACTGGTTTTGTCCCAGTAAGAAAAGAGAACCAGCCAGCAAGCCATAAAGGAGTGATGGGGTTGAAGCATTCCTCAGGGGTCAGTGCTGGGACCAGCACTGTTTAATATCTTTGTTGACGACATCAGCAGTGGGATCAAAGGCACCCTCAGCAAGTTTGCTGATGACACCAAGTTGTGTGGTGTGACTGACACGCTGGAGGGAAGGGACGCCATCCAGAGGGACATGGACAGGCTGGAGAGGTGGGTTCGTGCAAACCTCATGAGGTTCCACAAGGCCAAGTACAAGGTCTTGTATCTGGGTCCCAGCAATCCCAAGAACAAATCCAGGCTGAGTGGAGAATGGAAGGAGAGCAGCACTGAGGAGAAGAACTTGGGAGTGCTCGTGCAACGTGTGCTGGCAGCCCAGAAAGCCCCCCCACACCCTGGGCTGCATCCCCAGCAGCATGGCCAGCAGGGTGAGGGGGGGATTCTGCCCCTCTGCTCCACTCCGGGGAGACCTCCCTGCAGTACTGCCTCCACATCTGGGGCCACCAACAGCAGAAGGACATGGACCTGTTGGAGAACAACCAGAGGAGGCCACGGAGATGCTGGGAGGGCTGGAGCCCCTCTGCTGGGAGGGGGGGCTGAGAGAGTTGGGGGGGTTCAGCCTGGAGAAGAGAAGGCTCCAGGGAGACCTTAGAGCCCCTTCCAGTCCCTCAAGGGGCTCCAGGAGAGATGGGGAGGGACTCTGGATCAGGGAGGGGAGCCATGGGATGAGGGGGAAGGGTTTTAAATTGGAAGAGGGGAGATTGAGATGAGATACCAGAAAGAAATTCTTTGGTGTGAGGGTGGTGAGAGCCTGGCCCAGGTTGCCCAGAGAAGCTGTGGCTGCCCCATCCCTGGAGGGGTTCAAGGCCAGGCTGGATGGGGCTTGGAGCAACCTGGTCTGGTGGGAGGTGTCCCTGCCCAGGGCAGGGGTGGGACTGGATGATCTTTAAGGTCCCTTCCAACTGTAACCATTCTGTAATTCCATAATTCTATGAACTGGGTCCCTCCCAGACAACATTGGCAGCTCTCTGCACACTTCTGCCAGGCAGCAGCTTGAGCAGGACATCCTTTTTCACCACAGCAGTTCATAAGGGAGAAGACTCGTGATTTCTTCTCTTCTCCCCT